TATCGCTAACCAACGTTCCATTAATATAAGGACATTATAAAAAAAATTTTCAGTCCGGATTTTAAAGGGTTATATGGATATTGGCCCAAAGCCTATTCCAACGAATTTGTATGCATAAGTATGAATGCTTAAGGCCTATGTTTATGTCCTAAGTATATGTCCTAAGCCTATACCTATGTCTAGTCCTAAATTCTATGTCTACTCCTATTTGTTAGTGTCTCGGATAGGTGTTTATAACAGATGTTCATCACGGATACTCCAGAAGTAAGGAGAAAATGCATTTCGCTGTTTCGCCGTGGCTTGAAATTACTTTGCCATCTTGGTCGATGCTCAACTTCCGCAAGCCTGGTGCAGACTCAAAAAGCTGCAAAGAGCAGTGTAACATCTCAAGCGAAATGAGCACATGTGCGCCTCAGCGTTTAGAAGTAGGCAGCAATAATGGCATGGAAATTTTCATCATATCAGCTTGCCTTGGGGAAAGTTGCAAATGACTTTCTCCATTTAAAAAATGGCGACATATTAGGCAGGGTGTTTCGCATTTGATTCATGCAATTCTCTACGAATTCATTTTTTCTACCTCCGGATATCCCCCTTAAAACAAGGTTTCACTACTTGACTATCCACCTTGCCACTATCAGTTATTTTCTTCCCAGAGGATAAAACTAGAACACGTTTTCTTCAGGAATTAATGCGCACAAGGTGTTGCAATTAACGCTTCTTTTTTCTACATTGTTTTACCTCTGTGCCTCAAACTTTCGAGAAGCAGATGCCATCTGTCTCCTAAAGCAGTAAATTTGACATGACGTGGAAATGGCTTCAATGCTTTTTACTAAAGTTTTGCCCAAAGTCCTTTTTCCCACACAGATCTGCCTTAAAGTCATGAATAGGATTGCCAGTTTGGGTAGAAAGCATTTTTGCTAGCCTACCTTTCCGCAGCACGTTTCGCACCTTCTTGACCATCGTGATGGCTATGGAGTAAACACTCCTCAGTGTTTCCCTCTTGCACCGTTATTTCTTTAGCCGTCAAGGTCTTGAGTCAGATAATGGTTCATATTGCTCTTCGTACTTCCCGCTGGCGCGGTTTCTTCAGAAATGAAGCAGCCCGCAATCGGCTCGCCTTCATCTATGCTTGTGCCACTATGCACCACAATATTCAGTAATGTCATTGATCATCAGTGCTCTGAACAACGTTGCACATCAAGCCAAAAAGTTAATGAAAGAGTTCATATACTGACGCAGGCTGTTTAGCTTCATATTTGAAATACTTCTGTATGTCTGTTGTATACTACATAAGGATCCATGACACAGCTTCTTCTTCTTATGTCCCATTACACGCAATAAACTTAATCGACCGTGAGGCGATCTTTTACTTCGTTATCTCCCTGACTACGCAAAGGCAGACGACTTACGTTACTGTGTAGCACTAACGTCATTTTAACACTTTTTCATCTAACTTAATTAAACGAAATAAATCGGTCAAGGTCTCAAAATATGTAGAAGTTTATTGAAATGACATAAATAAAATACACTCGAAAGCATAAACAAACGAACACTTTCACAAGTGACGGAAAAAGTCAGTAAACGGAATTCCAAAATTCATTTCATAGAGGAATAACTCCGAGTATCGATGATGGAAAATCCAGAAAAATATTAAAAACCATCAACCTAAAACATCGACTCATCCACATGTCACCGTCTGAAGGTTCCGGGTTAGCATTCTCAAACATCAGTCTGAATCGTGTTATCGTGCATGTTGACGTAGAACCGTTCTTTCACTAGAATATCCTTCAAACCATGCTGACGAAGTCCATTCAAGCGGTTTAAATCTACGTGAAAAACGGCTTTCGATAGGAAAGTTCCCTGAATATCAATGGATAACACTGATGAAGCAGCAACTTGCTGGAAGATGTCGCAGACAATCCATTTCATAGATGCGACGAACACGAAAAATGGAATTCTCAACGTGACTACCGACATGTCCCGTAACACCACGTGGACTTGCAAAATGAAGACACTTTCTTTGCTCTGACCGGCCATTCGGAACTGTATGAGACAGAGCTATATGGAAAAATTTAAGCCTAACCAGTTTGATTAAATATTGAGAAGAAAATGATTCATGAAGAATTACGGGCTTAACGGAGTTCTTTCTTTAAACTGAGTCACGGCAGAGGTTTAAACAGTATTGAGTTTAAACAATATGGAGACACCTGAGAAACTTATGTCATAACGTTAAATAAAAAGTAGAGTATGTGTTGGCAAAACATAACCCGGATGTTCTGAGGAAGCTTTCGATACCGACGCTGAATATATCACATTACAGGTAATGGTGCTTAAATACGGGGTACCTGATACTTGTATCTAGGTACAACAGATACATTAGAGGGACAGAACGCAATCTTAGCGAAAACCACGTCAATGCCAACGGTGAAAGGTCTTGATATAATGCAATTTGCACTGATGCAGCGCCTGCTATCAACGAGTAATGACTGGAAGCTAACAGCGATTAGCCTTCGATCCCACTTGTTTGCAAAAAAAAATGCCCAAATTATTTTGCTCAAGTAACGGGTCTTCTCCAGGTCTACGTACTACATGAAAGCCGAACAGACCAACTTCCCCGATTTCTCATCAATCTGGCAAATTTTGAATATTTTGACACAGGTACTTCAGCCTGACCTGAAGCGACCCAGCACTTCTAGTATCTTAGAGTCAGTTATTCAGCTGCAGATCTTTCCAAAATTTTGGCATAGACTTTTCCCGGGAGGCTCAGTAAGGCAATACCCCGATGATTGGAGCATTTCCTATCGTTTCCGTTCTTGATCATGGGTACTGTTTCCTGATCCATTTGTGCCTTCCCTGTAGCTATTGCAGGTTCATAAGCAGGTGTCAATCGCGCCGAGCTATGTTCGCTTACAGATCGAAGCATTTTACTGAATAAAGTAGCTTCTGGGACTTCATCTATTAAAAGTTATATTCATTTCCAAAGCTCTTTTTCATACTGCATAACAGTGTATCTGGACCTGTCTTCCAGGATTCTGAGATTGCATTTCTTTCAATCTCAGAGGCTGCTGATCGTCTGGCAAAATACCTCGTTTACCGTTTGGAAGTTCTACTCCAACATCTCACCAAAGCTTCCCCAGGAATAAACGTTCGCTTTGGCAGCTGCTCTTCTTTGATACCTTGCACCTCGCTACGTGCTGCGTTCGAGCTTAAATTTCTCTCAAACTCTTGGAACCACTTCCTGAAAATAGTCTTTTCGCTGACAGCCAGTTGACACTCCCGCGTTCACCAAGAAGTTCGTTTTTGACCCCCAAGCGACAGATCAACCAATTAAGCTGCAGCTCTGAGTAAGCCGCTCTTACAGTGCTTAAGCTAGATATACAAATCAACAGTCGTCATTGAAATCTGTTCACACAGTTGTGTGATGTTATTTGCAAGTTTTACTCACGTATCCTCAGAAACCAACGTTTTCCATATGATCCACTGATTACTTCTGCCGTCAAGTCGTCGATGGCAATCAATATTCTACAGCACGTCATGTAAGTCAGAAGGATGATTATCATATCGATCATCGACTTCTGCGCACAAGGTTTCCCACGCTCAGTAGAATGATGTATGCTCTGATGCTCGACGAGTGTGTTCTTAACAGTCAGTCCGCTATATCCACACAACTGCAACAACTTCTGCTGTTGCAGTGGATGGGGTTGTTCTTTGTGATCAAACCTTTCTACTTTTCAATGACTGCGATGATACGTACACTGAAATTTTATTTTATATTTGTATAAAAATGATTATTCCGTAGTCGGATTTCGTATATTGCAGCTCCTATTTTTTTCCAGGAAGAACTGATATTATCCTATTGAATTGGGAGCATAGACGTGTAGGTGGATCAAATCTTCAGCCTGTTGTGATTGCAGTTGAAGGATTAAAACTCTCCCACTGACATGTTTTAATTCAATGGCTCTAATACCGCTAAAACATCAACACTGACCCGGGCGCGAGTCATGAATTCGACAGTTTAACAGAGTAGCTTCCATCTGCAGCGGTTCAGAATTCCGTATCTTTGTCGCTTTGTTAAGGAAGCCCAATGGTATGTTGTTGGTAGTTTTCGACCTCGTTAATTAGCTGTTGCTGTTGATCACAGAGTGACGAGATGTTCCAGTTTCCGAGTGTGAGCTCCCTCTGTCTATTTCTTTTCCTTAGATCCTTATTGGACATGCTCTAAGGGCATCGCAATGTCTTTTTCATTCGTTCAAAACAGATAGCCGGTCCGTAGTGTCTTACGTCTTCGCCGTGTTCCTAATTTTGTCTGGTAGCCGTCGCGGCGATGCCATGTCCTCAGCTGCCAGAAGGCGAGAAGTATGCTCCGATCGCGTACTATTCGCCATGCTTCCCTGTTCTCCAGTAGCCTGTGCGGCCCTTTGTAATGATAGCAACGAAGAACCGGCATTATGTTCGATAATGACAATGGCATGAGGGGCAAGTAGTTCGATTCTAAAAGAGACTTCGCCGCGGTTCTCAACTATTTTTCTTTGTCATCCGTGCTTCGGTCTAGCAACGGCGGAGTCTACAGATTTCAATATATTGCTTATTTATTTTTTGTGCCGATATTAAATGGTTTACTAAGAGGATTTTTTGTTGTTTTTAATAGATTTTTCTTTGTTTCATGGTTTACAACATCAAAAAACTTATATTAGCAGTCTGTTGACGCCTCGTGCATAAGCCGAAAAATCGCAATGGCATTACCAAAATTATGCGGTATTGAGACTGATGGCTAATCAGTAGGTGAAGCTTGCTAACCTATTTTTATGCCGGATCTGTGATTGGCTAACAGTGGAGGAATTACCTTATATTTCATTGAAAATACGCATTTACTTTTGCGAATTACTGAGTAAAACGGTAGTGCTATTGCGCCTAATTTGTAGCTGAACCTGATGACATTAAAAATTTACTGTAGGACAATTTCAAAGCTGGCTTGAAAAAGCGGGCGTGAAAGAGTGGTCATGTCTCGCTCAATCGAAATTCCTCTGAAGGATAGCGTCGATGAGGTATACGGTTTGTGATTCTGGTGATATCCACAGTGTACTGAGGCTTGTACGTTTCTTCTTGTTGAGGTAATTGAACTCGATTTTGACCAGTTACCCGATGGCGAGGAAGTTCTAGGAATCTTACGGCAGGAACAGGCTGTACTTCCCATTTGGGTCACATTGGCGGTAGGTCTGTACTGTAATAATGGCTTTACTATCGTTCACTCGGTTTAGCTGGAGTATTACAAGCAAAACAAGGAAAATGACTTTGTTCGTCTGCTCGAAGCGAGCGGTACCGACGCCAACATCGAATACCCGGACAGCGACAAGGACCAGATGCGAGCCTTGGATACATTGGCAGCCTACTACGTGAAAGAGGTTGTAAACTTCCTGCTTTCGTGACCTCAATAGCCGAAGACATTTCCTTTTTGTCTTTAGGCACACAGACGTACAGAAAAGGACAGGAAGCGAGAGCTTTTCACCAAAGCCACCCTACTCTACACGACTGCGGACAAAATCATCATGTACGATCAGGTAACGACGAATATGAGCATTTTCTCATACGAAAATTTAAGAATACACTCTGTTTGATATTGTCAAGATTTTATTCATCCTGTATTGACAGGGCAACGACATGGTGGGGTAGAATTCAGGGAGTAGCTTCGTATTTTTGTACGAAAGCACCAAATATGCGACGGATATCGCTCATATTTTCACATTAGCAAAAGTTTTCGTGCAGTAATTAATATGATACGTAAAAATGACTGCACAAGGAGACTCTTCTGGCTCTAAGCATTAGAACAGCTGCGA